GCGGCATAACTCCAGTCTTCACGTGGTGTCCTCCCTGTGTACGTGTTTGTCTTTGTCCAATTTCTCCCCTTTCTACAAGGACACCAGTCATATTGGATTAGGGCCCACCCTAATAACCTCATTTTAACTTGATTACCTCTGTAAAGACCCTATCTTCAGATAAGATCACATTCTGAGGTACTAGAGGTTAGGATTCCAACATATCTTTTTGTAGGGGACACTATTCAACCCATAATGTCAAAACAAGTTTTGAGAAGAACAAAGTTGGAGTGCTAATACTACCTGATTTCAAACTTAATATAAAGCTACAGTAATCAAGATCCTGTGGTGTTGGAGAAAACAGATAGACCAGTGGAACAGAAGAGAGAGTCCAGACATCAACCCACACGTGTATGGACAAATGATTTTTGACAAGGGCAATTTTGTGGAGGCAATTCAGTGGAGAAAGGATAATTTTTTCAACAAACAGTTCTAGAGCAATTGGATATCCATACGCAAAAAAATAAGTATAGCTCTATACCTCATACCATATATAAAAACTAACTCAAGGGCCGGCCCCGTGGCTTGGTGGTTAAGTGAGCGCGCTCCACTGCTGGCGACCCGGGTTCGGATCCCGGGCTCGCACCGACGCGCTGCTTCTCCCGCCATGCTGAGGCCGCGTCCCACATACAGCAACTAGAAGGATGTGCAGCTATGACACACAACTATCTACTGGGGCTTTGGGGGGAAAAATAAATAAATAAAATCTTAAAAAAAAAAAAAACTAACTCAAAATGGTCCTTAGATCTAAATGTAAAACCTAAAACTATAATACTTCTAGAAAAAAGAGTAGGAGAAAATCTTTGTGACCTAGGGTTAGGCAAAGATTTCTTAGATACCACAGCAAAAGCACAATCCATTAAGTTTTAAAAATTGACAAAGTGTACTACATCAAAATTAAGAACTTCTGCTCTTTGAAAGACACTTAGAAGAATGAAAAGACTAGCTACAGACTGGAAGAAAATATATGCAAAGCATATATCTGATTAAAGACTTGTATCTAGAATGTGTTAAAAAAAAGACTCTGTGAAGCTTAGGAAGAAAAAAACAAATAACCCAATTTTAAAAATGAGCACATAACCCAAGTAAAAAATGAGCAGAGAATTGGAATAGACATTTCTCCACAGAAGATATACAAATGGCCAGTAAGCACATGAAAAGGTGTTCAACATCATTACTCATTAGGGAAATACAAACCAAAACTACAGTGACATACCATTTCACACCAGTGTGATGGCTGTTATCAAAGGGCAGGCAATAAATTGGAACCGTCACAATTGCTGGTTGAAATGTGAAATGGTGCAGCCACTTTGGAAAACCGTTTGGCAGTTCTTCAAAAAGTTAAACACAGAGTTACCATGTGACCTAGCAATTCCACTCCTAGTTATTCACCCAAAAGAAATGAAAGTATGTGTGCACACAAAAAACTTGTACATGAATGTTCATAGCAGTATTATGCACACTAGCCCAAAAGTGGAAACAGCTCAAATGTCCATCAACTGATGATGTTGATAAACAAAATGTGGTATATCCATACAACGGAATAGTATTTGAACATATAACGGGATGAAGTACTGATACACGCTACAACATGGATGAAACTTGAAAACATTATGCTAAGTGGAAGAAGACAGACACAAAACACCACATATTGTATCACTCTATTCACTCTGAACTCTGAATATTTATATATGTAATGTTCAGAATAGGCAAATCTGTAGAGACAGGAAGTAGGGGTTATCTGGTCCCAGGAAGGAGGATGAAAGGAGGGCAGAATGGAGAGTGACTGCCAATAGGTACAAAATTTCCTCTTGGAGATGATGAAAATGTTCTAAAATTGGATTATAGTGATAGTTGCACAACTCTGTAAATATATTAAAAGCCATTGAATTGTACACTTTAAACAGATGAACCTTATGGTATGTAAATTATATCTCAAGAAAGCTGCTAAAAAAATGGTCAGAAGATTTGAACAGCACCTTACCAGAGAATGGATGGCAAAGAAGCTCATGAAAAGATGTTCAACATCAATGCAATTAAAACCACAGTTAGAATGGCTAAATTTAAAAAGACTTACCATACCAAATGTTGGTGAAATATGGAAGAGCTGGAACTCTTATACACTGCTGGTGGGAAGGTAAAATATTACAGCCACTTTGGAAAATAGACCGTTTCTTAAAAAGTTAAACGTACAGCTACCATGTGATCCAACTATACCACTCTTTTAGAGGTTGAATTGTGTGTGTGTCTCCCCCTGCACCCTCCCCCCCATTCATATATTGAAGTCGTAACCCCCAGTATCTCAGAATATGACCTTATTTGGAGATAGGGTCTTTACAGAGATAATCAAGATTGGGCCGGCCCCGTGGCTTAGCGGTTAAGTGTGCGCACTCCGCTGCTGGCGGCCCGGGTTCAGATCCCAGGCGTGCACCGACGCACTGCTGCTCCTGCCACGCTGAGGCCGCGTCCCACATACAGCAACTAGAAGGATGTGCAGCTATGACACACAACTATCTACTGGGGCTTTGGGGGAAAAAAATAAATAAATAAAATTATTTAAGAGATAATCAAGATAAAAATAGGTCATTAGTGTGGGCCATAATCTAGCATGATTGGTGTCTTTTATAAAAAGGGGAAATTTAGACATAGAGCCAGAAATACAGGGAGAGTACTATGTGAACATGAAGACAGCCATCTACAAGCCAAGGAGAGAGGACTGCAACAGATCCTTCCCTCACAGCTCTCAGAAGGAACAAATGCTGCCAACATCTTACTTTCTGACTTCTAGCTTCCAAATCTTGGTGAGACAATAAATTTCTGTTATTTAAGCCACCCTGTTTGTGGTACTTTGTTATGGCAGCCCTCACGAGCTAATATACACTACTAAGTATTTACCCAATAAAAAAGAAAGCATACATCCATACACAAACTTCTAAATGAATATTCACAGCAGCTTTATTTGCAGTAGCCAAAATCTGGAAACAACCAGGATGTCCATCACCAGGTAGATGGAAAACAAATTTGTGGCATATTCTGTACAATGGAATACTACTCAGCTGTAAAAGGGAAATGAACTCTTGATACATGAAACCATGTGGATGAACTTCAAAATAATTACACTGAGTAAAAGGAGCCAGACAACAAAAAGAGTACACGCTGTGTGATTCCACGTATATAGACTCTAGAAAATGCAAACTAATCTATAATTACAGAAAGCATGTTTTTTTGATTGTGGTGATGGTTTGGTGCATATATACATATATCAAATGATTTCCAGTTGTATACTCTAAATATATGCAGTTTAATATATGTCAGTTATATCTCATAAAACTGTTGACATTTAAAATAATTGTTTTAAAGAAGAAAACCAACAAAATATATTGGTAGCATTAAATAGAGCAGTTTTGATAGAGTGGAAAAGGTAGAGGCGAAAGGGTTTTAAAAGTAGACCTGAACATGGTAAATTAAACTCAGTTATTAATCTCTGCTCCCTTCTAAGACTCCACAACAATTATTTTTGCAAAATGATGTCAGCAAGCATAAATCCACCAGAAAAAAAGCAAATGAAAGAGGAGATTATGCAGACAAGAAATGCCAACAAAATTTTGGAAGCTAGAAAGCTTTTGGAGTGATGCTGAAAACAAGCAGGATGAGTTGAGGAATTTATAAGGAGCAAGGCCGCAGGAATCCAGCTCCTCACATCCAGAGATAGATGTTGTCCCTCTCCCACCCTGGCAAAGCTGAGGGTGGAGGTAAAGTACCTAACTAAAAACGGAGACGTCTATATGCTGATGCGAGACAGTGCCAGCTCTCCAAATTCAGTTCCAGAACACTGGAAGCCAGGCTGATACCCGTCAGGCTGAGGATTGAAGGGTACCTCTCTGAGCAATTGAACAGCCCAAGGGAGAAAGAAAAGAATATACAGATGCAGGCACGTGAGAGTTCTCCCAGTGAAGTGGCTTGGTCCCCTCCTGCAACCCAGGAAGCCAACCACAGGACATGCACCTCCCCTTCCTTCTCCTCATACAAGAAACACTTCCAAGCTCTTCAGGGCTTAATTCTTAAATATCAGTGGATAGCGAAAGATGACCAGACATTTAATAAAAACCTGTGAGTGAAAGATAGTGACCAAACCAAAGGTAAAAGAGGAACTTGGAGGAAATAGAGGTAATACAGGGAGCAGAAGAAAAGTAAAAGAAACAAACATATTCTGTAATATCTTCATAGATAAAAGAAGATATAATCATGGGACAAGAACAGAACTGTAAAAAGGAACTGTTCAGAGAACAAGGAAGAGCTCTTAAAATTAAATTACAATAGCAGGAATTTTTTTTTAAATTTTTTGTGTATTGCAGTAACATTGGTTTATAACATTGTATAAATTTCAGGTGTACATCATTATACTTCTATTTCTGCATAGATTACATCATGTTCACCACCCAAATACTAATTACAACCCATCACCACACACATGTGCCGAATTATCCCTTTCACCCTCCTCCCTCCCCCCTTCCCCTCTGGTAACCACCAATCCAATCTCTGTCTCTATGTGTTTGTTTATTGTTGTTATTATCTACTACTTAATGAAGAAAATAATACGGTATTTGACCTTCTCCCTCTGACTTATTTCACTTTGCATAATACCCTCAATGTCCATCCATGTTGTCACAAATGGCTGGATTTCATCATTTCTTATGGCTGAGTAGTATTCCATTGTGTATATATACCACATCTTCTTTATCCATTCATCCCTTGATGGGCACTTAGGTTGCTTCCAAGTCTTGGCTATTGTGAATAACCACAATAGCAGGAATTTATTGGAACATAAACTTAAGAGAATCTCCAGAAAGAAAAATAAAAATGATAAAAATGGAGAGATAAAGAAGAAAATTAATGGATCAGTCCCGTAGATTCAGCACTAACAGGAATTCTTGAAGGAGAGAAAAGAAATTGGAGGGGAGGGGCCAGCCCGGTGGCGCAAGCGGTTAAGTGCGAACGCTCCGCTGCGGCGGCCCGGGGTTCGCCGGTTCGGATCCCGGGCGCACACCGACGCACTGCTTGGCAAGCCATGCTGTGGTGGCGTCCCATATAAAGTGGAGGAAGATGGGCACGGATGTTAGCCCAGAGCCGGTCTTCCTCAGCAAAAAAAGAGGAGGATTGGCAGATGTTAGCACAGGGCTGATCTTCCTCACACACACAAAAAAGAAATTGGAGGGGATAAAATTATCAAATAAATAAGTAGAGAAAATGTCCTACACCTGAACAACCTGAGTTTCTAGGTTGCAAGTACCTACCCAATACCATCTCGATAAATAAAAAAGAACCATACTTAGTGGTTTGCATTTTTAGAAAACTGAGGAGAAATAAAGGATCCTAAAAGTTTCTAGAGAAGAAAGGTCATATCCAAAACATTAGGGTTTAGAATACTATCGAATGTCTGTATAGCAACTCTGGGAGGTGGAAGACAATGGAGCATGGCCTTCAAAGTTTTGGAGGGAAAAAGATTTACTAACTTGAACTTCTATATTCGATTATGTATGTGGGTAAAAAAATAATTTCTATATGTCAATTATATGTATGGATAAAATAAAGACTTTTCAGTTATTCAAGATCTCAAAAAATTCACTTCCTGTGTACCTTTTATTAGGAAATCACTGGAATATATGCTCCTTCTAAACCAGGGAGTAAACCATAAAAGAGGAAGAGAAAAGATCTGGGAAACAGATGCTCCACTGTAGGAGAGAGAGCAGGGAATTCCAGAGATGAAGGGGAAGAGACATCCCTGGCGAGGTGTAAGCTGTTTAGCGGCCTAGAGAGCAAACAGTCTAGACTGGAACAGGAGAAAACCCCCGAGGAATGTCTCCAAGACTGGAATGAAATTGATGGATTACCTGAAGTGTTTGAACTTATTAAGAGGAGACTAACAGCTCTGTTGGAGAGTTTGAGGATGAATTAGTGAAAAATACATAATAAATACTAAGCCAAAAAAATTGAAAGAAAGTGTAAGAAGATGAAGTAGTAATTGTTAGTTCCAGGGAAAACAAAAAATTGTACAAGAAAGGATATTTAATTATACTATTGCATATGATTCAACTGTATATATTATTTACTTAGTAATAGCACTCAGCACTGAATACTGATTTGAACGAAAATGGTGACTTACATTGAGAGAATGGGAGAAGGGAGGTACAGATGTGTTGTGTGGGGGGGGGGAGGTGCAGCAGAAAAGATTGCTGTTTTTGTTTGTAAGCCTGGTGGTATTATTTGACTTCTAAAATCTAAAATTTGGCTTCTAACTTCAATAAAGATTTGATTTTTTAAAATCAGATCAGTGATGAGAACATGGAAGTAATGGGGTATAGTTTATTCTTTTAAGAATTTGGATGGGGAAGGGTAAAAACAGGAGGATATTTGGAGAGTATCACAAGGCCAAAAATAATTTTTCAGAATAGAAGAGAGTATAAAATTTTTGTCAGTTGAAGGAATGGATTTACTGGAAAGGGAGAAAGAAGGGTTCCTGAGATAGTAAGGTCCTGGAGGAGGTGGTATAGTGTATTGTAGGTCATGAGTTTAGAGTACAAGTGGTGAGGTTAGCCTTGCAAAGCAGTAGAGAGGGCAAAAAAATGAGTGGAGATGCAGGTTTATAATATAGTCGTGAGAAGAAAAAACACGGGGCTTTGTGTGAGACAGGGTCTCTTGTCATCTTCAGAAAGGACGGACTAGGAAGAATGCCTAAGGGATGGGCTTGGAGTCTTTGAGGAGAAGAGCAAAGGTACAGGATAAATGAGTGAGGAATGTAGTGTACTAGGTCAGACATTCGTTTAGTCATACGATCCAGTGCTTAGCACATAGAAGGCATTCAGAAGGTGTGTTGAGTGAATGAATGACCAGTAAGAAGGGCTGTGTTAGATTCTGGGATACACAGACAAAAATTACATTGTTTCCCTCCCAGGCTCACCAGCAGAGGGGAACTAGGGATCACAGCTGTTGGCTGAGCCTTACAGGGTAAATGGGAAGGAGCACCTTGGAACAGGAGGAGGAGGAAGTGTAGCAGATATCAGAAACTGCTTCCTAGAAAAAGTAACTTTTGAACCAGTCTTTGAAGGTTGAGGAGAAGTTCACCAGAGAGACAGGATGAAGAGGGCCTTCCAGTCAGAGGTGCTGAAATGTCAGGGCTGAGTGGAAGTTAACTGGCATGTGTTTGTAAAGGAACCAGTTTTGTAACTTTCTCCAGCCATGCTCTGCTCTCCAGGAGCAGAAGAGAAGAAGGTAGGGGATTGGCAAGACAGGAATGTCCTGAGAACAAGTTGGTGGTGAGCAAATCTAGGACGTTAAGGAGAAAATTCACAGAAACGCCTATCAGGTGAGGCTCTGAATGGACCCTGCGTAAAGAGGAGACCTGGAGAACTAGGAGTTACAATGAGGACTCCTTACAGGTTCCCATGGAGGGAGGGAGTGGAAGAGGCACTTGTGCTCTGAGTCGGAGTTAGAATTCATGGACCTCAGTGTGGAGCAGTACAGACTGATGGTGAGGCCCAGCCCCGGGTCCTGCCCGTTTCCCAGCTGAGGTAGGAAGGAAATGGGTCGGCTGTCTGAGATAGGTCTAGAGTATCTGATTCCTTTAGACTGAGTTAAGTGCCCTTCCTGTTATTTAATTGCATTCTCACACTGTATTGTAATTGACTAGTTTTTGTCTGTCTTTCCCACTAATCTGTAAGTTTTTTGAGGGCAAAGACTTTCTTCACCATTATCTCAGCACAGCATCTAGCATGTAATATGTGCTCAGTAAATGTTTGTTGAATGAATGAATGGTAGTAGGAGAAAGGTGAGGATATGGTATAAGTTTTATGAATAAAATTATTGAAACTCCTGAAAATTAGGTCAAGGGAAAGGAGTGGTGGAGACCATCAAATTAAGTCCAAAAGTGTTCAAGAAATTTGTAGAAAAAAGAAGTAAGGAAAAGCGTTTTAATTGGCACTTCAAGGAATGACTAGGAATTTGAAGTGTACGTGCAATGGAAGACCAGGGCTTCCAGGCGAGAGGGAACATTATATGTAAAGGCACAGAGGGCTGAAGAGTTGGTGTGTGCTCCACTGGGGGTTCAGAGTGGATGAGTGAGACAGGGGTAGATAAAAAAGACCACTTAGGCAAATGAACTGAACTTTTATCCCTCAGGATAGGTGATAGAGTGCTACTGAAGAATTTCAAGGAGAGAGATGCGATCAGATTTGCATTTTACAAAAAGTCCACTTGATGGAAGTGGTTTGGAGGATGGATTGAAGAGAGATGGGACCCAGCAGCACCAAGACCAGTGAGAAGGCTTTTGTAGTAGTGAGATTTAGAGAAGCTGGCTTTAACTATGGCAGTTAAAGGAGATGAAGGGGTGATGGACATGAGAGCTATTTAAGAGGTAGAAGCCACGGTACTTGGTGATTAATAGAATGTGAGGTTAAAGAAGGAAGGTGGAGAATCTCATACAATTATAGGTTTCCTGTTTGAGGATCTTAGTGAATGATGGTACCATTCACAGAGATAGGGGATGTAAAAAAGAGAGGAAATTTGAAGATAAAGATGATGTTTCATTCTGGACCTATTGGGCCATCCAAGTGGAGAAGACTAGTATGCAAAACATGGGGGAGTGAAAGATTTGGAAGCCAGTGTAGGGGAGGTTGTTGAAGCTGTGGGCTTTTGATTATTACTTCTCATCATTATTGTGCTAATTTTTTGTTAGTGCCAGTCGAGTTGATTCTGACTCCTAGTGACCCTGTGTACAGTGGAGTGGAACCCTGCCCGGTCTTTTTGCACCATTCTCTCACCTTCCAGCACTATATCAGACAATGCCCTCCTGCTATTCATAGGGTTTTCATGGCCAATTTTTTTGGAAGTGGGTGGCCAGGTTCCTCCTAGTCTGTCTTAGTCTAGAAGCTCTGCTGAAACCTGTCGCCAGTGGTGACCCTGCTGGTATTTGAAATACCGGTGGCATAGCTTTCATTCTGCTAATTAGAAATTGATTATAGATAAGTTTTTTTTTTTTTTAATAGCAAGCAGAGGCTGAGGTCTGCAATTTAGAGCTGTTTAATTGGAGAAGACTTTTAAAGATGAAGAAGCAAGAAAATTTCATAACTGATATAAGTGGGAGAATAGTCATTCTTTGAGAAAATGATTTAGGCTTGAGATTCCAAGGAACTTAATAAATTTAAACAATTTGTTGCCTTTTCCCCTAATTGTCATAACATTTGTACATTTAAATGCATAAAATGCACAGCTCAGGGATTGTTTTTTCACATGGTGTACGCTTTTGCAACCACAACCCAGATCAAGGTAGCCTCATGTTTCCCTCTGCAATACTGTAACCCTGTTTTCTCTTCTCGAGGTTTTAGATCATGGTGTAAATTTAGGATGGGAGAATCCTCCCTCTCCTTGGCAAAGCTCTGTAGGCTGCAGACTCAGGAAGTCTGTAAGAGAAGAATAAAAGTCAAAACCTGGTTTGAATTTCACTATGCAGTGTGTCTTTTATTATTCTTGCTTACACTTCCTCCAATTTCTCTTTTTAATGGAAATAAAGTAAACCTCTCAATTTTTCTGTACTTTTTGAAACTTAGCCTCTTAATACTCTCCCATCTTCTCTAGTATTTCTGAAAAATGAAGGCTGTGGGGAGGATGGCAGAGCTGGAAAGCCTTCCCTTTTATTTGGGTTTCATTATGGTGTGTGTGTGTGTTACTGTTGTCTGTCTTCTGGATTATTAGGTCCTATAAGAAATGGACTATATTTTTCTGAGTTGGGAATAGTCTTGTCTATCTCCTTGAGTACATCAATTTGGTTTTTGAAAATTATGTCTTTTGGAGGAGTTTTCGTAGGACTAATGGACAGTCCCTGTTTGTGGAGGTCGCTCTCCACCTCTGTCACTTATCTTCCTTTATTGATCAATAAACCATCTGGAATAGTAAAATGCTTTTTTTTCCCTTTGAAAATTTGTTCTGA